TTTATATCATTTTCATCGTTTTACTATCAAAATACAGCACTACAAAATATATGTTAGTTACAAATTCTTATTGTTAGTAGTAGGTCTATGATGGAAATATTATATGTATATGAGATGGGAACTACTCCGTTTTATGATCAAAACTAAATTTTATGCGTGTATAAGCTGGTTTATAACATTTTCATTGTTTTACTATCAAAACACGCTACTACAAAATGTATGTTATAGGTACGAGTTCTTAGTAGTCTCAATCTATAATGGAAATATGTAGATAAAATCGGAACCCCCGGTTTTATGATCAAAACTAAATTTTATGCGTGTATAAGCTAGCTTGTTCGAAAACGAAAATAAAATATTAAGTCTTAAAGGAATTTTTAACTTTAATCTTTATCTATAAAGAAATTGCAATATTCAAAATAGTTTTTTTATATTTGTTTTTTTATTGAAATAAATTATTCTTATAATTTATTAAATGTGTTTGATATTATATATTTATTTTTTCTTCAATGCGTTTGTTATTCATCAATTAAATACTATCAAAAAGGGCTTTTATAGTGATTTTCTTTTAGCACGGTTTTTCCATATTAGTCAATTTTTCGAGTTACATTTTTTTTATGGAACCTATCTTTGGTGTAAAACTAGGGATAGGCGTATATCAATGACGAATTTCAATTTTGGATTAATTCGTTTAGTCGTTTATTCACGCGGATCTGTATTCGATCTAATGATAATAGTAAGTTTTAATTTAATACATGTAACCTAACCGCTGAGATGTTTTGTTTGCGTGAAGAGAATCTAAAAAAATGCTTCGAGTAACTGTACAGGCCGAGCGGAGCGTAATGTGAACGTGCTTAACTCGTGTTTATCTGCAGGAGTTGTTTGCCGGCGGTGTTACGCAATTGATGCGCTTCGGTCTTCGGGCGCGAACGAGCGAAAAAAGTTTTATTAATTACACACACACAGCAATGCAAAAGTTAGCACCTCTTCGGAATCGTAGGCTGGTACATACGATATTAAGCGTTTTGCAGAACGGTGTAATATGTATAGTAGTAAATATTAAAAAAAATTGTAAAGAAAAAAAATAAAATCAAAATAAAAATAATACAATAATAGCGAAAGACAAAATTTGAATAGTTATAGAAACTCTGATATTTGCAACTACATTGTATAAATTTACTAGCAAACCCAGCGAACCAGATGGTTTCGTGAGAAAGGTGAAGGAATTTTTTTTTTGTTTTATATTTGAAAAGGAAATGAGTAAATGTATCTACCGGCCGATCTACTTAAAATATTGGTTTATAGTACATGCTAACTATCAGAGATGACGCTGTATGTGAAAAAAGATTTTTCCGCTTTTCTGTTAGAATTTTCTTCAATTTTCTTAGCTGTAAACCTCACGGAGCCCGAGACCTTTCCAACGAATGCGAATCGGTTCGTGCGTTCTGGAGTTACATCGTCAGGAAGGAAATCCCGACTTATTTTTATATAATAGATAATATGTATAAAGCAACTTGGCCAGGACAGTTCCGGAATTTCACCTTGTGTCCAGGGTTTTTCTAAAAGCATTAGATCTTCTGTCTCGGATTGTCCTAGTTTTTTTGGAAAATTACTTGAAATTTGAATTTAAATTAAGCGAGTCTAGACAATATTAGTATATAATTCATATTCATGAGTGTGAAAAAAAATCTAATATCTACAATATTATTGCCGAAAACTAGCTGAGATGTGCCAGAAATTAAAACAATATAAGATAAATTATATAATTTAGTTTAATAAATAACACAATACGTCCAAAATTGCATATACATTATTTTTTTAAACTTATGCATGTTGTATTTTGCTTTTATTATTTAAATAAAAAACAATATATCTATTTCTTACACTGTTCAAAAAACTGCAGTTTCCAATACGTATATAGCTTATGATAAGACCATAAATGGAAGGACATTAAATAGAATATTAAAAAGTACAGGATAGGATATTGAAAAAATATAAAAACTTTGGTTTTGACTTAAAAAAATTTGGTCACCTTACTTGATAGGGAATTTTCTGTTTACTGGTATCTTGATATTTTTTTTAGCAATCGTCGGAGGCAATTTTGGAACAATTACATTATATACATACCCCGACATATGAGTCTAATTGGTTCCGTAAACACGCTCGTATCTCGAAGCAATTTTTCCCATATAAATACATTGAAATGCGATTTATTCGTTCCAGCACTATGGTTTTTGCTATTTTCCTATTTTTACTGTTTTGCAATTTATTTCTGTTTTCCTGTCTATTCATAATATTGCGGAAATGGGTTACACGTGTTTTATTAAACTACTCCTATGCTTCAACAGTTTCTGTTTTTTCGATGTGATTTTCATCCACAATCTTTTAGAGCTTAGAAAGCGGCTTATACATAATTGCTAGGCCCTTAGCTGGAGTTATACTCTATATAAACTCCTTCTACTAAAACACAGTACATATGTACGTTGTGTTATGTCGTACATCCTCGTCATCTTCATATTTTTCAATAATTTCACGCTTAAATTCAAGAGATCTGGCTAATTTGGTTGGACCCATGGTTACAAAAATATCTAATATTTTGTAAATATTCAAAAAGCAAAAAAAACGCGAATATATAACTATACAATCACTATTAATGAAATGAAATTAATTTAAATGAATAACAATAAAATAATTTGCTACCATAAAATAGCCAAAATATTTCTATGGTAAGAAAATAATTGTTACAACTGACGAAAACTTTCATGCTTTTACTTTGCCAATAATAATTTTCGAGAAAACTCGGTGAACGCACGTATGTCGCTCGTATGTCGAAACACTCATACTCGTAAGTCTGGGTACCACTGTACTATCAATTTTTAGTAATACTGAGGAAGGGCACATCCCATGTTTAGGCACAAGGTCCGTAAATTCCTTTAAAATCTTTTGTAGATGTGTGTTGTTACGTTATATATGGCTTTGTAGCATGTCACGTTATATGACTTTGTGACCTCTCTTGCGTTCAAAAACTGAGCACTCTAGGTTTTTCTTTTTGACCAGCAATTCCCCTATCGACTCCATCTAGGATCTAAGCTTTCTTCTGAATTTCTGCGAAATTCCACTAAGAACGCCGACCCACTCGTCGCCTATTGGAATGCTTCGTCGCCGTCGTAGGGAGAATGATCATTGCTAATGTTATTTATTATGGACGCAAATTCCTCACAGAAGTTCTC